GTGTGCAGGCAGGCAGGGCTGTGAGGGCGTGCGTGTGCTGGCTGGCACGGCTTTGGGAGTTGACAGGCAGCGAGGGGTTTGCTTCATTCAGAGCCTCCTGCAGGACTGGTTGGGCCGGAGCTCCGCACCAGAGCTGCGTGGAGCTGAAAGGTTGACCGGAAGGTTGCGTTCATGTGGTTAATCCTAAGGAGTGCCCGTCCCTGGGGGAGAAGGAAAATAAACAAGGTTCTTTCCTGCTCCCTCCCTGCAGCTTATCCATGGCACGGTGGTGGATACTGCGATCGTCTTTCCCCACCGCCTGGGCCTGCCTTACAAACGGGCTCTCCGGACGCTGATGGCCGACTACCTCAAGCGCATCATCCAGGACAACGGTGAGAGCGAGGGGGGGCTGAGAGCACGGCCCCGTGTCCCACCCCACCTGGCTGCTGTTCCTCCTGCCCTGCTCTCCCCAGGCCCTGTCCCCACCGTTTGGTCTGCATGGCAGTTGTGAACGGGCCCATCTGTGCCAGAGTTTCATTTTGAGCCCTTGCTGCTTCCCTCTGCACTACGTGGGAGGCAGAGGAGTGGTGTGACGAGGCCGGAGGCGGCTCTCAGGGCCGTGTCACATCTTCCTTGCTCTCCCTGCAAACTGACATTGACCTGTCTGTCTTCCTTGAGCGCAGTGTAGGTGCAGTGCTGGGCAGGAGCCCTGCGGCCTACGGACAAGCAGTGCTTCAGCCCTGCTTTGAGCCAGGCACAAGTCCTGCACTCGCATGTTGTTCGTTGGAAGCCCTTCCAAATCCATGGCTGTGGTTCAGTGTGATCACAGCTGGGCTTGCACTGCTGTGTGGAGGGCAGTGGGGAGGTGGTGTGGGGGAGCAGGGACCAGGCTGCCCTGTGCAGCACAGGCTGTAACTGCTCTCCTTGTCTCTGTCCCCAGTGGAAGGACACGACTCCAGCGAGGACGCCAGGGCTTGCATGGAGCTGATGATCTGGAAGATCAAAGAAGACTCGAAAGTGAAACGATGACCTGCGCTTTCTCTCCCTCCTGTTCCTCCTCCACCTCTTTGAAGCAGTGCAATAAATGCTCAGAGTAACACTGTCCACCCGTATGCAGCAGCATGCTACCCCAGGCTCCCCGTGCACTCGCAGGTATCTCATGGGCTGCTGGTGGTGCAGCTGAGGGCACCAGCTGGCTGCCTGCAGGTCCCTGTGTCCGCATAGCGGCTCTCGGACCCTCTTTTCTCTGCCTGAGGGGTACTCTGTGCTACAGCAGTTGCCCCGTAGGCATGGCAAGGTGGTTCTGAGCAGCACAGCTAGAGGGAACTCCGTGGTTCCTCGGAGAAGCTCGTAGAGGTAGGCTGGATACGTGCAGAAGGATCTTTCTGGTTCAGTTCAAGGTAGATTGTTACTGTTACTTTTTTCCCAAACGTAACTTAAATTGCTTTTCTAGTCCAAAGCAGGTTCTCTTCCTGCGGTGTTGGGAGAGGGGTGGGAAGCGGAGTAGAGCTGGGCAGGAGGCTGTAAAGTGGATTCTGTAGCTGCTGTGTGAGCAGGGAGTGGCGAGAGCAGATGGAGCCGTCCTTTGTGATCCAGGGCGACCCACTGTGCTGCACAGCGAGGTGGGCCCAGGGAGCTCCCTGCTGAGAGCTGGGCAGTGCTGAGTGCTGGCACTGCAGGCCGGGCTGGGTGTCAGGCATTGCCTGGACCTCAGAGAGACGGGGCTGCGATGGGTTGGGATGCGGCAGGAAGGGATGTGAGGGGGCTGCAGGGCAGGAGCTGCGCTGAGGAGGGCAGCAGTGAATGCAGGCTGGTTGGGATGGGCCGTCCTTCCCCTCAGCCAGGCTTCGCTTTGGGCTGCTTGGGAGCAAGGTTTTGGGGAGGACCTGGGTGCAGGAGGGTCCCAAATGGTCCGTGCACATGTGCAGAACTCCCCCCTGCTCCATCCCTGATGGCAGGGACCCGATACGCACCAGAGCAAAAGCAATAGATGGAAAATGCTCCTATTTTTTTTTTTCTTTTATTTTTTTTTTCTAACTAGTTTACATGTTGGGAGCTTTCAGAAAAGCAGAAGCCTCCCTTGTTGTTGTGTCAGGCGCCCCGGGACGAAAGCAGTGTTGTGCACAGCAGTGGATTCCCCTGGCTGCTCGCTCTGCGTTCCATCTGCTGGCTGGCAGTGGGGGGGGGTCCCAGCCTCTTTTCCCCCCACTGGAGCCGTGCAGCTCCTGCTGCTGCCCCGATGCTCACAGGGCACAACACCGCCCTGCCCTGGCAGCATTGCAGCCTGCAGCCACAGTGGGTGTTTTCCTCCCAGCCTCCTCCCATCCCTGCAGGGAGCAGCGCTGGCCACCCAGACCCAGGGAGACGCAGTTCAGAGCTTCACCAGGGAGGGAAGCTTTCTCTCCTGCTTTGCCTTTCTGTGGTTTATCCCGTTTGTTTTCACTCCTGGTGGCAGCAGCGCCCTCCTGCAGCAGCTTTCCCCCATGGCGTTGGGGTTGTGCCCTGCTGGGGGCCGCACAGCATCTCTGCAGTGCAATCAGAGCCCGGAGGGAGGGCTGTGGGTCCTTCCCCGTTCGTTGGGAAGGAGATGGGCACAACTGGTGTGGGGGAGAGTTGGAGCCACGTGTTGTCATTGCTGCCCCACAGCAGAGGCTCCCGGCGCCGAGCAGCCCCTGAGCCCACAGCCCTTCTGGGAGGGGGGGGGGATGCTGTAAAGCAGAGGTTTGTGGCCGCACGGAGGCGTTGGGTTGTGTATAAATGTTGTAACCTGTCACTTTTTGTAATTGTTTTTAATAAAAGGGTGTTGACTAGAAGCACGCCGCCCGTCTGCCTCTGCTTTACCTCCACGTGGGGCCTGGTGGGGCATCCCTCGAATTGCTGCCTCCCTGATTGCCTCCGTGGGGGGCGAGGAGGTGATGCTGTGGGCACATCCCAGCTCGTGCCCCTGCCCCCCTTGCACTGCCTGGAGGAGCCCCATCCGTCTCCCACGCAGGGCAGGAACTTCAGGTGCTGAGCAGAGCTGATTCAGCACGGAGGAAAAGAGGTGAAGGTAAAAAGTTCAAATCAAAAACGAATCTGCCGTTAGGTGACCTCAGTGGCAATGTGTTTTATCCAATGTGCTGCCCGTGGATGTGGCTGGGATGTCAGAACAGCCCAAGCTTGCAGCTCTGCCATCCCCATCCCCCCACAACTGCCCTCCCCCCACACTGCTCCCCTGCCCCACAGTGCTGCAGTGGGGCTGGAAGGATGCAGCGCCCGTCGGTTTGGGTGCCAACCTCGGCGTGGGGATGCGTTGTTCAGGAGCTCCCGCGTTCGCTGAGTGCTTTATGGACTGCCAGCCCAGCACTTGCTTAATCGCCTCCGGGTTTCTGCGGTTAATTGCGGTGAGCAATTAATCTAACGAGCGGTGGGGACTTGTGCTGGGACGGAGCTCTCAGCGCTGCGGTGCGGCTCTGGGGGTTGCTGGTCCCGACGCCAAAGCTTTGGTGAGCAAAGAGATGATTTGTATCCTCTCTCCTATGGGGCCGAAACCTGAGAGCCCCCCCGGCTCAGTGGGGTTGCGCCCATCCCCACTCCTCCCCGCGGCGCTGGTGCCAAACGGGGGCAGCTTCACCCCCGTGCTGAGGCTTCCATCTCCCCTCGGAGCTGATGTAGGGCTGTGCTTCCCTGGTGCCGGGGGGATGCGGTGCCCCATGGGGAGCCGCCAGGAGGGCCGGATCGGTGCCGGGGTGTGGCGGGGGCTGTCCCACAAACCCGCGTGGGCAGGGCGCAGGCAGCGGGGCCACGGCCGGGATCGGCGCAGGTATTGCGGCCGCTTTTCCCCTCTTCCTTTTTGCCCTTCTTCCCACCCGCACCGGGGCACCAGTGGGTGCGGAGGGGCTGCGCTGGGGGCTGCGTCTGTCTGTGTTGCTTTGGAGGGCGTTTGGACACCGCTTCGGTCCTTGCCTGGCTGGGATTGGGTTCATGGGGATGGGATGGGGACAGGGATGGCGTTGGCAACAGGGACTGGGGATGCTGTGTTTTCCTGTGGGGTCGGATCAAAGCAGCACCCAGGTGCAGTTATAGGGTGAGCAAACAGCAGCAGGAGGGAAATTCACGGCCCCACGAGTTCCCTGGGCAGGAGCTGCCGGGATGCGCGGGCGTTTCCGCTCCGATCCACACCCGGTGCTCATCACAGGGCAGCTCCGCCTCGCTCTGACCCTAATTAACCAGGAGCACGCCTCAAGTGGCTGCATTTTAACCCCTGACTGGAAGCCCTGCGAGTGGGGCGCTCTCCTGCTCTGCCATCGGGGTGCTGCGGGGTCGGGATCTCTGTGCTCTGTGCAGGCGCTGTTTCCCAGCTCACTGTGCTCCTCGGAGAGCCCCGTGTCTGCAGGTGCTTAATGAGCAGTGAGCTCGTTTGGCATCACCTGGGAGCAGAGCACAGGGGGTGACAGCAGTCAGGGTTTGGGATTTGGAAGCGCTGTGGCCGTGGGGGGGTTGTGGACGTCACAGCCACGTCCTGGAGCAGAGCAAAGCAGCAGCATCCCACCACTCTGCAGCATCCTCCTCTTCCTCAGGACGCAGATGTGCCGAGCTGGTGGGGTCACTTAGGATGCAGGGACAAAAGCAGAGCCTTTGGTGGTGGATAAAAGCTTTGGGTTTTGGTCCGAGTTCTTGGACGAAGCCGGGTTGCTGCCCTTTTGGGGTCACCTTGGTGTGGGGTGAGGTGGGCTCTGCAGTGAGCGTGGGGCTCCCAGCATCAGCCTGTGTCATTGGGAGTGATGGGAGGAGACCCTTCTGTGGAAGAATGGGAAGAAAGGGATCAGAGGAATGAGGGGAGAAACAGCAGGGATGGACTCCTGGGGGGGGAGGTTATTAAATGATGGGGTAATGGATGCTTTACGCCTTGCCGGCTTCTGACGTGTCGGGATCACGAAGAGCTGCACAAACATTAATTAATCTGCCCTAATGACCCCGTGGGGAGGTCAGTGAGTGGAGGGGAATCTCGTCATCAGTGAGGGCGGTGCTCCTTCGGCACAATGGGTGCGATGGCGACGTGAGGAGAGGCTCTCCTTCAATGATTTCCCATGTCTTCGTTGGAGAGGAGTCTTTGAGTGGTCAGAGCACAGACTGAGGCTGAAAGGGAGCTGCAGTCCAACCCTGAGGGCACGGGGGGCCCAGCCCCACACCAACACCTTGGAGTAAACCCATCAAGGCCGCATGTGTGATGGAAATCCAAAAGATAATGCTTTTGTGTCACCACTTCTGTGACGTTTAAGAATGCCACTGCACTTTCTCTGTCCTGCCCCATAGGGGTGAAGCTCAGCTGCTGGGCATCCCAGTGGGTCCCGCTGTGGTTCAGCATTGCGGGTTTTCTGTGTCCTTGTCCTCAGGTCCTGGTAGAGGTGGCAGCATGGATGGGCAGGACCCAGCCCTGGGCTGTGAGCGTGAGCAGAAGGGGCAGCCAGGTTGGTGCGCAATGAGCGCGGGCTGGGATTTTCCTTTCTTTGGGCAGTAGAAACAGAGGACTGGCGTAAAGGTGGCCCATCAGATGGGTGCAGGAGTTGGGGTCGTGGCTGGGATGTCCCAGCTTGGTGCTGCCCACACTGGGGTAGCAGGAAGAGCATCAGAAGGGGAACAAGCATCCTTAACAACAGCACCATGGAAGCGCGTCTCCCCAGCTCACCATGAGCACCACAACGGGTCCCAGTGTCCCCGGAGGGCAGGGGGTGGTGGCTGAGCACAGCCACTGGGTGACCACGAGCTCCTCCAGCTTTCACCTGGGAAGTGCAGGCCAACAACAGAGCCCAAAACGAGCAGCTCAGGAAGAAATCTGCCTTCTGCGTGAGCAAGAAGAAATACGCGGTGAGTCAGGCGGCGCCAACCAAGAGCCGTTTCTGGTGCTGGGCCCCCGCTCTGGCTTTAAGCTGCCATCATTTTGGCAGGGCAACGCCATTAAGACGGCCAAGTACAACGTCCTCACCTTCCTCCCGCTGAACCTCTACGAGCAGTTCCACCGCATGGCCAACGTCTACTTTGTCTTCGTCATCCTCCTGCAGGTGAGATGGATGCGAGGGAGAAGCACGAGCGTGAGGGAACTGTTACCAAAGCAGGGCTGTCTGGTGCTCGGAGCAGGGCGGCCATCTGTAGGGACACCTGTGTTCCCACCTCTGACCTTTATGGATGGGGTCTGGAGCTGACGTGGGTTCCCCTTTTGTGCCTATGCTGTAAGATGGCGTCAGGGGCACCGATCTGCAGTAGCGTTCGTCGGATTTCAGGACCTCTGAGTGGCTGAAGCTGAGATAAAATATGATTCCTTTAAATCAGTTGGGTTTGGATATAAAATAAGATCATACAGAAAACTGCCAGACAAAAATCCTACCGTCCCCAAATCTTGGCTTGGTTCCTACCTTTTTTGGGCCATTCTAAGGAGGAGAGCTGGGACCCGAGGTGTCCCATGGCGGGATGGGAGTTTGGTCACTGAGGTGCCCTTTTCTTTCCCCAGACCTTTCCTGAGATCTCCACGCTGCCCTGGTACACTCTGCTCTTCCCCCTGAGCTGCCTTCTCACCATCCGTGCCCTACGGGACCTGATGGATGACATTGTGAGCGTGGGTACCGAGGGGTGGTCAGCAGAATGGGCTCCTTTGCTGTGGAAAGTTTGGGAGATGCCATCATTCAATGTACCTGAGACACCATCAGCTCTGCAACATCCAAATCGCTTCGTATTTTCCCTTTGAAAGGATGTGGCCAGATGGTCTCCTTCCTTTAGGAGTGATATCTGTAATATCCCAATCCACGGCTGTAGTCACAGTTTGGCCCCTAGGGCCATCTTGGGGGGACTTCTGCCCCTTCATTCATCAGAATGCATCTCCAGGGTGCTTCAATGAGCAGATCCTGTCCTGGGGCTGAGGAACCCAAAGAGGTTATAGCGTTAAGAGGGTTGCTTTCATGGGACAAGAACGCCTGGCATGGCCCATCCAATTCTTCTTCTCTCTTCTGCCCAGGGCCGACACCAAAGTGACAGAAACATCAACAGCAGGCCCTGTGAGATCCTGTCTGGGGAGAGGTAAGGGGCTCTGGGGAGGGCTCGTGCTTTCCTTGCAGTGAAGCAGTGACGGAGCATCCGGAATGCTGAGCACCCCTGAGTTCAGTGTTTTGGTGGCACCAGGCCTTGCAAGCTTGCATCGCCCCCCAGATCTGGTGCAGCTCCGGGAGTTTCTTTGGAAGGATGTTTGTATCCCAACAGGTTCAAGAAGCGCTGGTCTGCCTGTAGGCATGGGGGTATGGATGTGAAAAGCAGCCCTGTGCCACTCGTGGTGCCCTGATGGCCACAGAGGAACCAGCAACGCCCTGCAGACCCCAAGAAGCCAGGAGAGCCACAGGCTGCTCCAGAGGATGGATGCAGCGTTAACCCTGCCGTGCAATATTCTAACCCTGCTGTGACAGCAGGGCTGCAGTATTCACGCCTTCTGAATTCCCCTTCAGCTTCCGCTGGCAGAAGTGGCGCGATGTCTGCGTTGGGGACGTCGTCCGCCTGCACAAGGACAGCCTCGTCCCAGTGAGCAGCGCCCCGTGGCTGGCGGCTGGTGTGCCAAGGGGGGCTCAGCAAGAGGAGACCCAACCAGGTGCTTTCCCTTTGCTCCTGCAGGCCGACATGCTCCTGCTGTGCAGCTCAGAGCCCAGCAGCCTCTGCTACGTGGAGACCTGTGACATCGATGGGTGAGCAGTGCTGGATGTCCCGGCTGTGGGCTGAGCTCTCCAGCCCTGGGCGCCACCAGAAATGGGGGTCAGGTGTGCAAGGGAGGCTGGCAGTCCTGCAGAAACCACGCAAGCTGGGGGGTCCTCCAACAGCCAACCTTACAGGCACTGCAGCCATGGAAGGAGCCTTTCATTTGGCCCCACGGATTTTGAAAATTGGAAGGCCAAGGAAATTTTCAGGCTACGGTTTTGGGGAAAACCCTGCACCCTGCAGAGCAGCTCGTGACCTCAGGTCTATCTCCTCATCTCCATTCCCTTCCAGCTCCTCATCCCTCCCGCTCGTCTGCTGGATGATTTAATGACAGGGTCTCCGGGGCCGGGGCTTTTTTCCTGCTTGATGTCTGCCACGATAGCTCCCTATCTTGCTTTTCATCACCATTGCTCATGTAATCACCCAACAATTAATGTCAACTTCTGTCTCATGGGCCCGATAGCAGAATTAACAGTGCTTTTGCCCTGTAGGGTTGTTTCATTCTTCCCTCGCTGACTCTTTTTTCGCAGAGAAACAAACCTGAAGTTCAGACAAGCCCTCCTGGTCACCCACCAGGAGCTGACAAGTGAGGAGAGCTTGGCTGCCTTTGATGGTGAGAAACCCAGATGGGTGAGGATGTGGCCTCCACCCCATGGTCACATCGGGGCAGCCTCCAGAGGTCTCCCATCGGCCTCACTCTGTCCCCAGAGACACCAAATGCCCTCACTCAGCACCTTCAGAGCTGGAGGGTGGTCCCTACTAAAGGGTCTGCATGGAGACCCTTCCCCAGCAGCGTGGTTGGGGTTGGGTTAGGATGGGGGTTAGGATAGGGACTACTGGATTAGGATGGGGGGCACAGGGTTGGGATGAGGGCTGTTGGGTAGGATGGGAGCCATCGGGTTTGCGCATGGCTCAATGTCTGTTTTCCTACCAGAATCAAACTCTGAGCATCCAGACTTGAGCTCAGACCCTGGATTTTTTTCCCCCTTTGGTCCTGCATGGGATGCTGTGTCAACAGCAGCTGGAATTAAGGATTTGGTGCTTTATCCCATGTGGTTCCTCGACTGGGCACAGCAGGCTGGTGCTCCAGCTCAGCCTTAACCCGAGTCTCCCATCCCGCAGCTGGAAGACGTGCAGGAAAAGTCTGAATTTTCCCTTGAGAAATCCTCTTCTCTGGAGGAAACGAAGGACCTCGCGTTTCCCCCACAGCCAACGCCTGCTCTGTGTGCTCTGCTCCAGGGAGAGTGACCTGCGAGGAGCCCAACAGCCGCATGCACAGCTTCACTGGTGTGCTGCAGTGGAGAGGCGAGACGCACGCGCTCGATGGCGACAGGATTCTGCTGAGGGGCTGCAAACTCCGCCACACCGACACGTGTTACGGCTTGGTTCTCTATGCAGGTGAGCACCAGCTCCAGGATTCTGTATTTCCCTGCATCGTGTCCTGGATCCACGTCCCTTCATGTCCTCTTGGCCGTGCGTTGGCTGTGGGTAGAGGAGGGCTGAGGGCGGTGGAAGGAGCATTTTTTGCTTTTTTACTTACAAAACGGTTTCTCGCCCAGGATCTGATTCTAAAATTATGAGGAACTGTGGAAAGATCAAGAGGAAGAAAACCAAGCTGGACCGCATGATGGACCGCCTGGTGGTCATAGTAAGAGCTGTGCAAACGCCTCCTGGGGGTGCTTAGAAGCTTCCTCGTGAGGCACTGCTTCCTTGGGCAATGCTGATCTTGTTAAGCTTGAAGTATTTTGCTCAGTTCTTGGTCCAGTTCCTGGTGGCTGTGTTGTCATCTCTTCTCCAACTGACTGCTGGCATTCCTCTTGGGTAGGGTTGGGGTTGGGGTCAGTAGGGTTTGGGTTGGGGTCAGTAGGGTTTGGGTTGGGGTCAGGAAGGTGGGGAAGTTGGGTTTCACTCTGTTTGTTGTGGATGTGTTCAGCTGAATTCTATGCCACGATCTTTCGTCTCAGCCCAGGATAGCCTTCGAGTTCTGTGTGGTCTCAAAGCAGCTTCACGACCAGGGGATGCAGTGAGAAGGGCTGCAAGGGACAATGGTTGGTCTGGTAGGCTCTGAGGGATGCGCCATTCTCAACCTGCCTTCCCCCATCAGATCTTTCTGGTGCTGCTGGTCACATCGCTGTGCCTCGCCATTGCCTCAGGGTTCTGGGCCAAGATGTTCCAAGAGAAACACAGCTACCTCGCTGCTCTCTATAAGCACACGGCTCCTGCCAAGCAGGCTTTCTTCAGCTTCTGGGGCTTCACCATTCTGCTGAGCGTCATCATACCCATGTCCATGTATATCACGTAAGAACGATGCAGATTGCACACAGCTGGCACTCAGTGCCCCCCTCCCTCCCCTTGCCCCATCACCTGGCACCTTGGCTTGCAGCCACAGTGTGGGGCTGCCACAAAAGGGGCTCAGCACCCGAGCAAAGGTGATGCAAAGACGCACGCGCCAAGGTTGGAAATGGTGGACAGGCTGAGGATGACCGACCGACGAAGGCGATAACTCCTTTCTCGCATTCCCACTCCAGGTTTGAATTCATCTACCTGGTGAACAGCTTTTTCATCAACTGGGATTTGGAGATGTATTATGCTGTCAAGGACATCCCAGCCAAAGCCAGGAGCACCAGCCTCAACGACCAGCTTGGCCAGGTGGAGTACATCTTCTCGGACAAGACGGGCACCTTGACGCAGAACATCATGAGCTTCAAGAAGTGCTGCGTCAACGGGAGCATCTACGGTAACTTGTGGTGGTGGCAGGTTGGTAGGGATTGCAGAGTTGGGTTGAGGCCAGGCTTTGGCTGGAGGTCACTTTGGTTCTTTTGTCTTCTCTGGCTTGCTGGGAAGCTTGGGGTACGTGGGTTGGTCTTGGTGGTGGTGGAGGAGGGGAAGGAGGAGGAGGTGAAGGAGGAGGAGGGGAAGGAGGAGGAGGTGAAGGAGGAGGAGGTGAAGGAGGAGGAGGGGAAGGAGGAGGAGGTGAAGGAGGAGGAGGGGAAGGAGGAGGAGGTGAAGGAGGAGGAGGTGAAGCAGGAGGAGGTGAAGGAGGAGGAGGTAAAGGAGGAGGAGGGGAAGGAGGAGGAGGGGAAGGAGGAGGAGGTGAAGGAGGAGGAGGCGAAGAAGTCGTCCTTCCCTTTATGATTTATTCTTATGGTGAGTGCATGTGGTGCTCTTTGCTTTCTTTAATGATTCAGATTACTTTTTTCCCCTCAGAAACCCCAGAACTGCCAATTCCTTCCTTCTCTCATTGCTACATTTACTCGAGCTCTTGGCTGGCTTTTGGTGCTTAATTAGTGACATTTAGAGAGCAGCGAGGGGCAGAGCTTTAGCACAGAGCTCCTTTTTCCTGAGATCCTTATCAAACACCTGAGACAAACAGGGACAAAAGGAAAGGGGAGAAAAAAAAACCATTTGGCAAAGTTTCTAAGCAGGAATAAACCCAATCCTCCTCTTCCTGTGTATCGCACTGCACCTCTGATAGCAGCACTGCCACGATCCTTTCTACCTGCTGACAACTGGAAATGCAGGTGAAAGCCAGACCTGCACTGTCAACATGAAAAACATGGAAAGTCTGAGCTCTTCAAGAATGAAATCAGTCAAACCTGAATGCCCCAATGGCTCACAATGGACAGACACTGGGCCAGCACTGGAAATTCCCTCCTTGCCAGTCTTCTGGCCAGCAAAAGAATCCCAGCAATCCTAATCCTCCTAGCAAAAAGCTGCTTGGAGCTCTTGCCAAGCGATGCTCCCAGCTCTTCAGTAACTGAGCTGTCTCTTATTTTGGCAGGTTTGGACACGGGCCATGAGAACAAACAGCCACCGGTGCGTAATTCCCTTCTCCTGCATAGCATGGGGCCAAATATGACCACGGCAGAGCATCACAGGGTGGCCCCGTTGTTGGTGTCTCGGGTTCCTACAGCCTGCCGTGCCTCTTGCAGGGGTTGGTGCTGACCCAGAGCTGCCATGGGGAGAAGATGTTGGACTCCAACAACGTGGGGCTCCGGGAAGCAGTGCAACAAAACAAGGATCCGGTGCTGCGGGAGTTCCTGCGGCTGCTGGCCCTCTGCCACACCGTCATGGTGGAGGAGAGGGGAGGTGGGTTGGGGTCCCCTATGAGGGGGTTCCCTTCGAGGCACAGGGGCCGTGATATCGTTGATATGAACTGCCTAGGCTGGGGTTTTCTGTTGGATAGGGATAGGGAGTGGCACTGGGATCCCATTGGGAACGGGGGTGGGATCCCACTGGGGTCGGCGTGGGGATCCCTTGGGGGGTGTTGTTGGGATCCTGTTGGGAGTGGTGCTGGGGTCCCATGGGGAGTGGTGGTCCTTGCTTAATGAGGACGAAGAGCACACTGTACTCACACAGCTGTTATTCTCTCTTCTCATGAACTCAACAGAAGTTAAAAAATACGTATTTTTAAATTTCAAGATTTGGTGGATTTAAATCATCTTCAGCAAAAGTGTGTATGACTGTAAACCAAGCACGGCTCCTGAAATGGGATGGATTGGGGGGGTCGGTTGTGCTGAATGCGTGTTTTTTAACCTTTACCCTTTGGAACATGTTTAGAAAAATGATTCTAAGGAGCTGAAGGAGTTGGACTTGATGAATCCTCACGGGTCCCTTCCAACTCGAGATGTTCTGTGTTCCTACAGCTCTGTTCTATGACTTTCCCTAGCTTGGTAGCTCAAGGCTTCAAGGTCTCCATCAGTAACGTCGGTGCAAGGCTGAGGCGTTCCAGGTGTTTGAGGGATGCTCATCTCGGCGTCTCCTCACCCAATCCTTGCTTCTCTTCCGCAGACCAGCTGGTTTACCAGGCGGCTTCTCCAGATGAGGAAGCATTGGTGCTGGCAGCCAGGAGCTTGGGTTACGTCTTCCTGTCCCGAACGCAGGACACCATCACCATCAGCGAGATGGGGGTGACGAGGACGTTCCAAGTGCTGGCCATGCTGGACTTCAACAGCGATCGCAAGAGGATGTCGGTGTTGGGTGAGCTGAGGTGGCTGCAGGGTGGTGCCTTGCATGGGGACGGCAAAGAGCAGCTCTGTCTTTTCTGCCTCCCAGTGAGGGACCCACAGGGCACCATCCGGCTCTACACCAAAGGGGCTGACACCGTGATCCTGGAGAGGCTGCGGGGTCGGGGACCCAACCAGGACTTCACCGAGAGGGCTCTGGATGTGAGTCCCACAGCAGCTGGGTCATGAGGGGTTGGTTGGGTGCCCCGCTGCTTCTCTGTCCCCACTCTGGCTTTAGGATTTAGCTCTGTCTTTCCCCCTTCTGCTCTGAGCCTCAAATGCACCTGGAAGGGGGAAATCCAAATCCCCTTCTTGGTGTTCTGCATCGCCCTCAGACGTAGGGTCTGATATGTGGGTCCTGCGAGGAGCCAGAAGTTAGATCTGATGATCCTGATGGGTTCCTTCCAGCAAGGGACATTCTTTGGTTCTATGATCACTCCTGGGGTGGGGGGCAGACAGAGCCCAGAGGAGACCTCAGACCCCATGTGAGCACAGAGTCGAGGTGAGGAGGACACAATGTCTCATCCTGGCAGCACTTTGCAGAGGAGACCCTGAGGACGTTATGCCTGGCCAGCAAGGAGCTGAGCGAGGCGGAGTACGACGAGTGGAGCAGGAGGCACCGCATGGCCAGCATCCTGCTGCAGGGCCGGGCGTGTGAGCTGGACAGGCTGTACGAGGAGATGGAGCAGGACCTGGAGGTGGGATGGGGCCAGGGGTGGGGAGGAACGCCTTGCCCTGTTCCCTGCTGGCCCCACAGAGGGTAGGAGCACGGAGGGGTTCAGCTCTTTTGGGGTGGAGGGGCAGGTGGAGATAGCCCTCGGGGTGGTTTTGCAACATGTCCACCCATGGGAAGGGGATGGAGCTTGCAGGAGACCCCTGGTTGGAGCCAGGGTTAACCTTCAGCTTGCCCTGACCCCCTGCCCCACGTCATGGCACCTTCCCTCCAGCTGCTTGGGGTCACAGCCATTGAGGACAAGTTGCAAGAAGGGGTCCCTGAGACCATCCAGCTGCTGAAACTGGGCAACATCAAAGTGTGGGTGCTGACGGGAGACAAACAAGGTCAGTGGAGCCAACCCCAGACCCCACCAACACATTTCAGTTTCTTCCCCAACCAGGACCAGAGATCAGATGAGACCCTGGGAGGAAGCAATAGTGGGGCTCTGCTGTTCCATTCATACAGAACAATAGCACGACCCACAGATCACATTACCTGTGGGGAAACTGAGGCAGGGGAAGCTGTCTGCATGATGGCATGGGGTGCAGAAGAGTCCCAGCACCTGTTGGCCTCCAGGGCTGGGGGATGTCCTGGGATGGTAGGGGGGCACGAGAGCCCACTGATGTCCCTGTATTGCAGAAACAGCAATGAATGTCGGCTATGCATGCAAGCTGCTCACGGATGACATGGAGATCCTGGAGGAGAAGGAAGTGAGGTGAGGAATCCTGACCTTCTGGGTCGTGACATCAGGGGGTTCCTGGAATCACGGAGGTGTGGCACTCAGGGATGTGGTTATTGGGCAGTATTGGTGGTAGATGGACAGTTGCACTGGATGACCTTAGAGATCTTTTCCAGCCTTAATGATTTTGTGATTCTACACCCAAGGGCATAGGAATCCATGCAGGGCGAGCATGGAGGGCTGGAGATGCTTCTCCTTCCCCATCCCAGCCTGGATGTCCATTCCCATCTTCACCCACTGACACCTTTCCAGTCTTCCCCATTCATTTCTGCACCTACTTTTGGCTGCAAAGCGCTCAGCTTGGTTCTCTGGCCTCCGAACCACATGCACCAGGGCTGATTTCTCATCTCATGAGCCCTCTCAGCCCCTCTTTGCCCCTCCTGCTCCCACCATTGGGTACCAACCCTGTCTGGATCCAGCTTTGAGATGCAAATGCCAACCAGCGAGTCATGGCCAAAGCTGACCAACACTCCCCATGTGCCCTCCTTGCACAGCGAGATGCTCGAGGCTTACTGGGCAAGAAACAACAACGTCAGTGGCAGCGACTGTGCCTCACAGCAGCACCCTGAGCCTCTGTGCCACAAGAAGAGAGCTCTTGTCATCAGCGGGGACTTTGTGGTAAGGAGATAAGTGGGGCTGGTTCTGCCCCAAGGCATTGGATGGCACCAGGAGGTACCCCAAAATGGGTGGCAAAAGCCACAGGAACCCTGTTTTGGGATGGGGAATGAATGTTAGAGGAGGAGGTGACCTCACGCTGATCACTTAGTGATGGGGGCTTCACCCACACTGGCCCAGGCTGGGGGCTCATGTGCCCTTCTTCAAGCAAGGTGCAGATGTGGTACTGAGAGATGTGGGTCAGTGGGCAATATTGGTGGTAGGTGGATGGCTGGACTGGCCGATCTTTTCCAACCTTCATCACTCTATGATTCTGGTCATACTGGGACAAATTGCTCTCAAACTGTACCTACTGCATGACAAACCCAGAGATAAATTTTTTTTGTTGCACCAGAGAGATTTGAGAGCATCATAGATTCCACTGTGACATCCCTGCCAGTCTCTAGAAAACCCAAATTAGAAATGTTATTATCCTCCCTTCATGCCCATATTTGTTTCCCTGTGCTAAAAGAGCTCAGACCAGCCCCATCCTCCCTGCTTGTAGCCCCCATCCCTCTTGACCAGCCCTGGTGTGAGGTTCTAACCATGTGTGCTCTCCCCTAAGGACACAATCCTGCAGACAGGAGAGGTGCTACAGAAGAAGGGACAGCTGTGGCAGCACCTGGCTTGCCATGGGACAACGGACCCCCAGGAGCAGGGCAGTCTGGTGGAGAAGGCCTTTGTGGACCTGGCCACCAGCTGCCAGGCTGTCATCTGCTGCAGGGTCACCCCCAAGCAGAAAGCTCTCATCGTGCAGCTGGTGAAGAAGCACAAGAAAGCCACCACGCTGGCCATTGGGGACGGGGCCAACGATGTCAACATGATCAAAAGTGAGGCTGGGGGATGTGCTGGTGGGTTTTGGCTAGAGCATCCAACTAGAGCGGGAGTGGTGGAACCCCACCTACCATCTCCACTGTGTCACTTCTCCTTTGAGGTGAAGAGCTGAGAGAGGAACACTCAACTCAACTTCCAACTCAATTCCCAGCACAACCCCTGGCTCATTTTCCAGCCTAATTCCCAATCCAGTTTGCAATGCGGTTGTGCTGGGAAGGGAGTGAAAAGCACAAGACCATGGAAAGGGGCAGGGTTGCTTGCTTGGGCAACGGGGATGTCTTGAAGACTCCCCTGCTTCCCCAGCAGCCCCCAGCACAGGGCTGTGCCCTTTGCACACCCAGCTGTGCCTGCTGTCACACTCTATGGCACACGATGGACATGCAGGAGGGCTTTTCCCCTTTACCCATCAGCCCTGGCCGCAATCTGCAGGGCAACCAAACGCTACAGAAAAAGGGCTCTGCTAAACCCTCACTGCCCACATCTCACACCCTCTGCAGCTGCTGACATCGGGGTGGGCATCAGCGGGCTGGAGGGCGTGCAAGCCGTGCAGTGCAGCGACTTCGCCCTGGCGCAGTTCTGCTACCTGCAGCGCCTGCTGCTCGTCCACGGCCGCTGGGCTTACCTCCGCATCTGCAAGTTCCTCCGCTACTTCTTCTACAAGACCTTTGCTGGCCTCATGACCCAGATCTGGTTTGCTTTTCACAGTGGATTCACGGCCCAGGTGAGCAGTGGCTGCGTATCGGTGCGGAACGCGGCCCTCCTGTGGGTTTTTGTATCTCCAGCGCGGTCTCCTTCCTCCCTCCCTGATTTTTGGGGGCTCCCTGGTTGAGACGCAGCTGGTTACTTGCACTTGGGCCATGGGACTGGGAGAAGTGCCCTCAGAGGCACCGGCAGCTCTTGTGAGAAGCAGCTCAGCCTCACAAATGCGCAGGGTTCCACAAGGTTCTCCCAAAAATGGGAGCTCCTACCTAAGGGACAAAGGTTATCAGTGCAGTGTGTGGCTCCAGCCCCACCTCTGCAGCACGCTCCCAAAGACCCACAGAGTGCTGCGGACAACCCAGTGCTGATGCAGGTCTCAGAACAAGTCCAGAGGGATTTCCATGGGATTTGAGGCAGGACTTGGCCTCACCCCAGTGCCTGGGCATCCTTTCCGAGTCTTCCCAAAGCACCACCGAGCTCACAGCCACTTCGTTCTCCCCGTAGCCTCTCTATGAAGGCTGGTTCCTTGCTCTCTACAACGTTTTCTACACCGCCTACCCCGTGCTTTCTGTGGGTCTTCTGGAGCAGGTATGGGACCACCAGGCTGCACCCAGCCCCTATGCCTGGAGGGCAAACCTGCCAAGGGTGGGAAGATGATGCTCGAGCCCCTTTGTGTTCCAGCAGGACGTGAGTGCCAAGAAGAGCCTGCGGTTCCCTGAGCTCTACACCATTGGGCAGCAGGACAAGCTCTTCAATTATCGTATTTTCAGCGTGACGCTCCTGCATGGTGTCAGCACATCGCTCACCAGCTTCTACATCGCGCTCTGGGCCTTTGAGGACCACGTTGGCAGCAGGACTGTGGGGGACTACGAGTCCTTCTCCATCACGGTGGCCACCTCAGCTTTGCTGTCGGTCCTCGTGGAGGTGAGCACCCCTCCCTGTGTCTGAGCTGGGGATGAACTGGAGGCTGTTGGCACGGATGAGGGGTTGGAGGGAACCGGTCCAAATGGAACACGGGTGAAGGGACCCCAGGCATGCTGTGATGTTGCCCAGTGCAGCTGAGGATGATCTCCCTTGAGGCAGAGACAAGTGGCCAAACGGAAGTACATCCTCCAGCCTTCACAAGGAGTTGTATGTCCGTGCAGATCATCCTGGACACCAAATTCTGGACTGCGTTGTCTTTCCTGATGGTCACAGCCAGCTTGCTGCTCTTCTGCCTCTTCTCCTTCCTGACCCAGAGCTTCGATGCCTTCAGGATCGCCCCCGCTGTCTTCCGTTTTCCAGGTCAGGTGCCCCAAATCCCTGCAGTCCATTCCTCCCAAAGCCAGGCCAGCTCATTGTGGGCTCCATGCCAGGAGCTGTTTTCCCAGTGGATCATGTCTTCGCTTGGCTGTATCACATCCCTTGGTCTGGATCCTCTTGCTATATGGTCCTGGGTGACAGGTTGACCATTTCATGAACTTGCAGTCTTGCTTTTTGATCCTGGTTGAGATCCCTTAGCAGCTTTGTGAGTGTGGGGCTGTCCCCTCACCATTGCTCTCTCTCCTCTCCACCTTTGCTGCTTGAACATTGCCCGCAGATGCCACCCGGAACGCTCTGACCGACCCTTACGTCCTGCTGGTGGTCCTGCTGTCCCTGGTGGTGAACACCATCCCCTCGCTCACCATCCGCTCGTACAACGCCATCACAGGCAACACCAGCATCCAGCAGGTGAGGATCTGCCTCAAGGACCAGCGTCTGGAACCAGTAAGGGTGTTGCTGGTGGTGGGATGGATGCGATTCCCCAGGGGGGGGTCACCAGGCCCCTGTTTCCTTGCAGAAGATCTGTTGGAAGGCCAGAAGGGAGCCGGAGCCCTCGGTGGAGCTGCGCACCCACGTCCCCCGTGGCTCCTTCCACCGCCGTTCCAGCTATGCCTTCTCCCATCAGGAGGGCTACGCTGGCCTCATCACCCGAGGGGAGAGCCTGCGCACCAAGGGCACCCACAGCACCACCAAGGGCACCCACAGCACCACCAAGGGCACCAAAGGCACCCACAGCACCACCAAGGGCACCCACAGCACCACCAAGGGCACCAAAGGCACCCACAGCACCACCAAGGGCACCCACAGCACCACCAAGGGCACCCAAGGCACCCACAGCACCACCAAGGGCACCCAAGGCACCCACAGCACCACCAAGGGCACCAAAGGCACCCACAGCACCCACAGCACCACCAAGGGCACCCACAGCACCACCAAGGGCACCCAAGGCACCCACAGCACCACCAAGGGCACCCACAGCACCACCAAGGGCACCCACAGCACCCACAGCACCACCAAGGGCACCCAAGGCACCCACAGCACCACCAAAGGCACCCACAGCACCACCAAGGGCACCCAAGGCACCCACAGCATCACTGACACCCATACCACCAATGACACCTGTGCCACCACAGCGCTCCATCGCCAAGGGACAAACCCCAACTTGGCTCTCCCCCCATAGCTGACCTGGCCACGTCCCGCTGAGGCCAAAGGGGTTTCCTCCTTTTGAGGTCATCTGAATCCAATTTGGGTGTTTTTGCTCCACGATCTCCGCACTGTGGTCCCCAAACCCGTGGCAGTGCTGTGTGCCATGCCCCCATCCCCACCTCCCACCATTCTCTGGGGACGTGCACAGCCCATGGGACGCTGCGGAGCCACAGCTTGGGGAGGACAGAGCATGCAAACAACCACCTGGTGGCCGGATCACCATTTTTTATCCTCGTTTTTGTAATTAAAAGCCCCCTGGGACACACACACAGACACGGGGGTGAATGACTAGAAAATAATTTATTGAAGAAACAGAAAGCTGCAGAAATACAACACAGTCATGACCAGTAGAGGATGAACAAATAGAGATTTTCTTTTTTTTTTTCTTTTTTTTTTTTTCTTTTTTTCTCTTTTAAAACCTGTTGGAGTTAAGTTTCCTGGTAATTTCCCCTGCGTGAGTCATTGCAAAGAACAAGGAACGAACTCCAGAGCACACAGCACAGTTTGGATAAAGTGCCTGACACATAAGACTCTTTTTTTTTTTTTTTTTTTTTTAAATTATTGTCTTTTTTTCTTTTTTTTTTCTTTTTCTTTTAGCATTTGTAAATAGCTTAAACAAATATAATTGCAAGACACAGAGGAGTAACAATTGCATTTCGCTGTAGAGTAAAACCTATCCCGTGAGATTAACAACGAAGCGGCAGCGAAAGGAAAAATAATAAAGATAATAATTAGAAAACAAAACAAAACCATTCAGTCAGAAGGAAAAAAAGCATTGAGCAACGGAGGGACGTGGCCCCCAAAGGAGGTGGGATGGGTGCCTATTGCTATGCAGAGAAATGAGCAGTGGGGTGGGTGGGTAAACCCAGTGCTGTGGGCTCCTCCTGGGCAGGGTGAATGCTGCCTGACTTCTTGTTCTCCTTTAGAAACGTACGGGGGAGAAGGATGGGAAAGGAGAAACAAAAAAGAAAACAAAACAAAGCCACAAATGGATTTGTTTGTCTTTGCGTTTTTAATTCCCTTTCTTTAAAAAGCCCTGAATGAAGAAATAAGACAAAAGGATCCGAAGCGTCCATACGCACAGCCCCAGCCCCGGCTGCAGCTCCTCTTCTGCTCTGAGATGAGGGAAAAGCAAGAAATGTCCCCCCTGCCCCCTTGAAGCGACTCATGCACGAACCTTGGGTTCTGATTCTGCTCAGAACAGAGGTGTTGTATGAAGGATCTTGTCCTGACAGTCCTGGGCTTGGCACCAGGCAGTGCAAGCTCCAGGCCCAGTGCTGGTATCCCATCATTGGAGACCTTAGAGCTGGGAAAGCTCAGCTCGTGGCTGGGCTATCAAGGAATGTCAGTGCCTGCAGCTCGACTTTGAGGTTCCGTGAGCCCTCTGCTCCTCCTCTCCCAGTGGGGATGGAGATGTTGCTGCCCCACTGCAAATTCTATTTTATTTTTTTGCACCTAAACGGAGAACCAGCCTGAGGCTTCACAAGTAACGGGATGACCCAAATCCCTGAAAACTTCCACAGTGGAAACAGGACGCAATGACCAGGCTGAACTGTGGGATTTGGTGGGGCTGGAGGTTCCAGGCACCCTCCTCTTCCTCGTCCTTCATCAGCACAAAGCCCTGGGATCTTTGCTCCCTGATGCTCCCCACCAGGCAGGAGCTGCTCTTGTTGTTTCTCAAGGTGCCCCATTGCGCTCCAGTTCTGCTCCTGCTCCCCACAGCACAAAAATGCCTTTTTGGGGCAACCCTGGTCAAGAGAATTGTCTTTAGGACAGAGCTTGGATTGTCATTACCTGCAGGGAAAAAAAAAAAATATCTTTGGTATCGTTGCAAGTTGCTCCTCAAGGCATTTTGGTAGGTGTGGGCAGCAGGCGAGGCCAGATTCGGCATAGGGCAAAGCGCCTTTGGTTCAGTGGGTGCTGGTGGGTGGAGGATAAGGACAGCACTCAGTGCTCAGCTTCTTTGGGATGGCCCAAATCATCGGGTTCTTGTCCCGAGGTGGGAACCAGTCGGGCTCTGTAGATTCCTAGGACTGATGGCCGTGGGTTGGGTCTAAGCTTGGTGACACCTTCGTGTGGTTGGAAGCGAGGTCTGAGCATCCAACACTGAGATGGAGATCCAAACAGCAACAGCTCCCCAGAGGGACGCCAGGAGCACTGTTTGGATGGACAGCCATGAAGAAGACGAAGGCTGCAAGATGCTGCATTGAAGAAGATGCAGGTATAAATCCTGTTATGCTTTTGGGGACCACGTTGGTGGAGCACAATGGAGTTGAGATCTCGTTCCTTGCAGTTGTTTGAGCTTTGGGGCCACATCTAGTGACAGAGGTGAAGGATGGAGAATGAAGAGGAGGAAGAAGAGTCAAGAATCAGCATTTTAAAGTAAAGGCAAGGATGGAGGCAGGTCTTCAAGGCCACCCCAAGGGAAAGCAACTCAGGGCCATCGTACAAATCACAGAATGGTTTGGACTGGGGAGAGACCCTTGAAGATCACCAGTCCCACGGGCTGCCATGGGCAGAGATGTCCTTCACCAGATGAGGTTGCTCAAAGCCTCGTTGAGCCCAATCTCAAACACTTCCAGCAACGGGACATCAATGGGGGCATCCACAGCTTTGGGCAGCCCTGTTCAGTGTCACCATCCTCAGCGTGACGAGCTTCCATTGCCAACGGTCGCAGCGTGGGGTGGAGGGCGGCGATGGGGCATGGGGGCCATTTCCCTCATCTCAGAGCAAACGAGGAGCCCAGAGCTTTGCAGACTCAGGTGACGGCGGCTGATTGTCTCTGTTTCTCTTCCGCATGAAGACACTTTGACACACAGATGTGGATAAAGCACAAAAAAATCCCCAAACCTGAGAGGTGCGGGGCCTGGCGGGGTTGGTTTGGCATGGGTGGGCACACAGGGGTCCCGTGCCCCAGACACCAGCACCTGGTTTGCTGGGCATGGGGGTCGTGTGCCCCCACAACCCCCTGCAGCCCCTACACCGTCCCCCATGGGGGTAAAACAGCGTGCAGAGAAAGGAAAGGGGGAAAAGAAGCCAACAAACCGACGGAGGGGGGTAAAGGATGGCTCTCCTTTGAGAAAAGGATTGAGAAAAGGAAATCGACGCGGTGATCCATGCAGAAAATTCTTAATCAACCCAGAAGTCATGGACAAAAAAAGCACAGTTTGTCCCCTCCCGCTCCCACCCCACCATCCCTCCCCGAATAATTATTACATTACTTCAAGAAAGAGTATATTTTTTTTTTTTCATGCATAAATCAAATTCTCATCTCGTCTTTTTTTTGTCCTTTTTTGTTTTTTTTCTTTTCGTCTCCTTTAAATTACATTTGAACACAGAACACGTATAATAAATACTCTCGTACGACATGACTCAGAGAAAAGAAACACATCGGAACTCAAAGGTATCGTCGTCGTTATTCGTTTTTCTTTTTTTTTTTCTTTTCTTTTTTTAAAAGGACTGGTTTAAATATGAAATCTGTAAACTCCGAGGGTCCTTTTTAAACCTTTCTCTCTCTCTTTCTCGCTCTCTTTCTCTCTCATTATTTTATTTTTTCATCGTGAAACTACCCAGCTTTCGTTTCCTTAACATTCAATATGTCTCCCATCGAACGCGTCAAAGAAATAAGAACATGCCGTCTTCTGCAAAATTATAATTTAACAGTATAAAGCTTCAAGTCACAAATTCCAAAAACTAGCTAAGTCTTTTTTTTTTTTTTTCTTTTTTTTTTTCTTTTTTTTTTAAATCACATAAACTATACATTAAATATTTTGAGGTATTTCAGAGAACATTGTCAAAGGCTTGTAAGGTCTGTGCTGGGTGGAAAAGAAGGCTTTCTCCTGCATAGAGAACGTCTTTGGTATCAGGAGCCATTGTGGGTGTTGGGGAGGAGGGGGGGTGGGCAGGATCTGGCCAAGGCAATCGTGTGGAGGCGATGGGGACGGGGGGGGCGAGCAGTGGGGTGCTCTGAGCTGCTCTCAGTGGGGCTGCAGAGGGGTCCCGGCGTCCCCACGGCGAAGCTCCAGGTTGGGTTTGAGACTTTGGCCAGGTTTGGTCCAACCTAAAGGAGCCGTTTCAGATGGAGCCCGCTGGGGTGGCGCGGCCTGGAAGGCTTCACCCAAGAAAGAAGGGGAAACCAACGCAAAGAGCCAAGCAGCTGCAACTGGACCCCAGATTTCCCTAAGCTGGAGGAGATTTCTGCAGAAGAGCATCTTCTCCTGAGGGTCCTCCCACCGCCTCTTCCTAAAGCAGAGCCGCTCCTGTCCCACCCTGCACCTCTGCTGGAACCTGGAAACCTTCCCTGCTGGAGACGCTGAGCTCCGAAAGGTTTGGAGACAGTCAGCAACGAGAAACAACGCGCATCCTCTCTGTGCTACCAAGAAGGGAAACTGGAGCTTCAGTCTGGGCTGAACCTCAACGAAACATCCATGGTGGAATCCATTTGTGGTGGAATCCACGTCCCCAAGGTCCCCACCAACCCAAGCCGTTCTACAGTCGGGTTCTGCACGGTTCAGAGCAGAGCTGCCCACAGGACAAACGGGGACACTGGGGGACACCAGGGACCTCTGAAGGGGAAACCACAGCAAGAGGGAAGGGCGATGCTTTCTCTTCCAATAGGACAAAGGTTTGGCTTTCTGTTTCCTCCACCCCAACACCCAAAGGCTACAAGAGTTGCCAGAATCCGTTCGGAGAGCTGAGGTAACAGTGAATCTTCGGGACAAAACAAAGCAAAACGGGAAAAAAAAAAAGAAGAAGAAGAAAAAAAGCAAAAGGAAAAAAAAAGCGGAGGAGCAAAGAAATGGCCACACACCTTTGGTACAAGAAAAAGGCACTCATCGACCACGCCGCCATCCCGGGGATGCTCGCTCGCCTTCTCTCGCTCTCGGGGGGACTCAAAGGGCGCAGGGAAAGCGGCGCTGCCAGCACAGACCAGACAAGGCAACAAAATCTTTGGTATCAGACGTGATTTTCAAATCACGAAAATTGAAAACTCAAGTGAGGTAGCCTTGATTCTCGGGTTCTCACTAGAAATGTCTTTGCATCCTTGAGGGCCTGTGGCATTCACTTTTTTTTTTCTTTTTTTTTTTTTTTCCTGTTTTTTTTTTTTTTTTTTTTTTTTTTGTACCTTTCACTTTCTTTGTTTTCCTTTTTTTTTTTTTAATTTATTTATATTTTTTTTATTATTTTTTCCCTTTATTTTTTTTTCATTTTGTTTCGGTTTTTTTTTTTTTTTTTTCACTTCCCAAACCAAGGCCCCCCCTTCCTGGCTTTTCAGCCCTTGAATGCTACCCGATGGGGTTCAGGAATTGCCACCACCCCCCCCTCCCCATCGTCACCACGTCACAACAAGACAAGAAGAAACAACGTTGAGGGGGGGGAAACGCCGGCGGAGGGCAGCGGATCGCAGGGGGCTGAGCTTCACACCGCCGCTGTTCTTCTCGGGCTCTGCTTGGCACCGGCCCCTTCCCAGCCCCTCTTCCTCCCTCTCGTCCATCCGCTCCCCCTGCCGATGCCTGGGGTCGCTGTGTGAGGCCCCCACTTCCCACCACCCCATCGGCTCTTTGGTCAATCTGTCCCACAATTCGTTCCCAAACCCTGCGCTGGGTCAGGGCTTTTCCTTGTAGGGTTTTTTCCTTTCTCTCTTTCATTCTTTTGTCCTTCCTTTCCTCTTTTATTTTTGGGTTTTTTTTGGGGTGCTTCTCTTTGTTTTCTTTTTTTCCCTTTTTTTTTGGTGTACGCAGACACTTTTTTTTTTGTTTTTTTTTTTCCCTTTCCGTTTTTCCTTCTTTTCAACAAGGTGCCTTCCTGTTACACAACAGATCGCTCTCAAAGTAAAGTGAATCGAAGAAACCGTAGCGCTAGAACACAGATGGTACTATTTTACCCGCATAAATTCAACAGTGTCCCATTATTATTATTATTATTATTATTATTATTATTTTGCTTTTTTTGGGGGGGTTGGCTTTGGAGGATTTTTCTTTCTCCCCAAGTGATGGGGCTGGCAAGGGGCACCTGGCCTTCCTTCCATCCCCAAGCCTCCCTCAGCCC